TAAACCACAATAACAAAAATAAGCTCTTTCTTCTAGTCCAGGTTCTGAGTTCCAGACCCAGAATAAATTATCATTATAATTTAATCTGGGTCTAGAAAAACACGCTCATAACCCTGTGTGCACTTAAGCGGTATGACATTGTTCGTATCCAATAAAGCAGCACTATCCATAAAAACGGTTTTTATGATGATTTCAGACTCACTGGTATCTAAATTTTCCAAATCACGAATTTTACAGTTCGCATAAAACACATTATTACAAATCAAAATAATTAGTGCTTTATAAACCTATTTACCTCATCATTACTTACTTCATTATCTTCCTACTACAATTACCCTCAGTTTGATTTTACGTTTTTTTATATTCATGCACGTATTCGCGCATATTTGTTCCGATTAGAATCGCCTTCCATTATTTTATTAAGGATAATAATGCTTAAAATATAACGCAGATCTCTGTGCAAAAAAACTTACTAACCCAAACTGAAGCTAAAAAAACGTACCAAAGTCAAACAAAACACGACAGCCTGAATCAGCATTGTTCCAAAATCCAAACTGACCACCACGAAATAATTAACAGGAGAAAAATCTTCTTCACTGCATACTTCTTCAAATCCATAATAGCTCACACGCAGCTTCTGCTTATTCCGGAATTCCTTATATACCCACCGAACTAAAAAAATCCAGTCAACAAACCGAATCACCCTAACATTTTCTCGAACAAATTTTTAATGTACATCGCAACCTACTTCCCATATAAAAACCACCTGTTACTAAACATCCATAACCATCAGATCAAAACATCGTAGTCTGCTCCATTAAGCAATCACTTTCTCGAACCTTCGTGAATTTTCCACAATAATCCATCACCATCCCCCACCACAACTCATAACACACAACACACTCCGCTTCCTGTTACACTTCATTAAACTATGAAGTATGAACAACCAATAAGTCGAATACGCTTATGGCAGACTACAGTAAAACCCCCCACAACCTTCCCTCTATTACAACATTCACCTCTTCGTTATCAATGTCTTTCAAACATATCATCTTTTAATATAATCACCTTTAATAAAATTTACTATATTATTAAATTCTCTATTCAGCACTTTATATTCCTACCCCTTATAATCTCCACATACAATATGCTCCTGCATTGTACTCCTACATTATGCTACTCCTACAGTAGGAGGACATTGCAATATGCTTCTACATAATGTAGGAGTACATTGCAATGTGCTCCTACATATGTAGGAGCATATACGTAGGAGTACATTGCAATGTGCTCCTACATATGTAGGAGCACATATATGTAGGAGCACACACATAGCAATGTGCTCCTACATATGTTGGAGCACATTGCAGGAGCATATTGGATTGCGTTTGTTTGGATACTACAGTTCCGTTTTTCTCCTCCAAGAACCGATGAAACCGATGCAATGTGCTCCTACATAATGTACGAGCACATTCCATTTCCAGTGTGCTCCTACATAATGTAGGAGCACATAATGTAAACTAAAAAAGATGCCGAGCTAACAACGCCATCTACAAGTTTGGCGCATCGTTACTCGACTCATGTCATATGACTCATGTCACATGACTGTTAGGCCCCACCGCTTCCTTCAACCGGCCGGACCCTTCCGTACTCTACAGGCGCCAAAAATTACTTTTGTTTACACATGGATATCGAAGACCAAAAACCGAAACTACAGTTTCATATATGCTACGACTGATTCTAGTCGTATACCGCATATAAGAACCTGTCACGGTTCAATGAACCTGCCGCAAAATAAAGCTGGCGCTCGCGCTTGCGAGCTGCTGCATACGATTTGTCTGTTGCAGTGTTACAGCCTCCATTGTATCTCTGCGTGAATGAATTACCGTACTTTGCACAGAATGTTCTGTCTGCCACCTGATTTTTTTTTTCTTGTAATAGAGCTTTAATTTTTAGTATTACGTCTATCAATTAAACAAATGAAAAACAGGAGCGTCACACAGCATCAACAGACAGCAGAAACAGGCGCCCGAATCACTGAGAACATTTGATCTAAATCAGCCGAGGCTGGTGCCGTTCCCAGGACGGAAGCGGCGTTTCCACGCTGGATTTCGATGCTGAACCTCTGGCGCAGATACTCAGTTGCACGTATCTCGCCTGTTTCCTGCCATATCATCTTGCCCAGTTCGCTGATCAGCCGAGAGGCTTCCGGTCCGAGTGGTCCTACTGTCTCCACGCCCACTGCACGGAACAGGTAGTCCTGGGCGATGTTCTGGTACTTCGCGGTTTTCTTCCGTTCGGCCTGTGCCGCTGCTGCGCCAGCTTGGATGGATGTTGCTGCAATATGGGAGAGGGCCATCGTACACACACAAGTCACATCCCATGTCAACATTTTGCCTCGTTCCCATGGCACTAGGGTGACACCGTCCGGGCGTAGGCCGTTGGTCGGTGAAATTCCCAAAGGCTCCAGTTCAGTCTCAATGGTGGCTGAGGCGAAGGCTCGCTTAAGCGTGGCGTTTAAGCTGCTGTGTCTAGACTTTCGGCCTCGACTTTTTTGCAGCTCAAGCCATGGTATCCTCGATCGTCCACCCATTCATTGCAGATGCATCTGTGCGGAGTTACAATCGGTGCTCCCAAGCGCAAGCCAACGGCAATCCGTAGTGCAGAATCGTTCAAAAGATTACCCAGAGATGCAGCTGGTAGAGCATCCAGCCATGCCCCGTTGTCCTTCGTGCTAACACCTAAAAGCCGCGCTTGGCTGGAAATATCAGACTGGGCAATTTCGGTTAGCGTCTTCACGGAGGTCTGGATAACTGGTTCATCCCACACTTTCTGATACTTTCGGGCTTCTACAGCTGGAAGGTTAACTTCGGTCACACGCTGCCACTCGGCTTCGGCGTCACCGCAGTACACCTCCGGGTCGAAATCGGAAATATCGGATGCCAATCGGGTCACTGAGTAAGCCGAGGCCAGAAAGGCCGGAAGGGCAAGCTTCTCAAGACTCCGGATTCCGAGGCCACCTTCTGCAACCGGAAGTGATGCCTGAGTCCAGTTCATGTCGGTGAGGTTTACGTTGGTGATTGCACAAAGGCATTCACGAATCATACTGTCGAATTTGGTCAGCAGGCCTCTCTGTAGATAACAGCGAGCGGTGCGTAGCTGGTAGGTCATTCTTACCGGTCCCATGCTGCACTTTAATAAATAAAGCGCGTGATGAGCCGGTAACACTTTCAGTCGCTGTATCATTTTCGCAATTCGAGCTGTCGCAGTTGTTAGCGTCCCCGCCACGGCAGCATCGTGGAGTGGAGCGCCAAGGTACTGCAGTTCTTCCAACTGCGGGCACTGGAGGTCAGGAAAAGACTCGAGGAAGGCACTGCGAACAGCCTGGCATTCATCTTCGCTTCCTCCCAAAATAACCAGTTCGCATTTTGCGATATTTAGAACCAGGCCGCGGATTTCGAGCTGTTCTTTTAGTAGACACAAGTCATCGTAGACGTCATCTGGGTCGCCGCCAAGTGCGTCATCGTCAAGAAAACTTTCTTTCAGCTTCGATTTCAGGTTCTTATGTGGACCGATTGTTGCTAGACAGTACAGTAGCGGGCCGAGGGGATCGCCTTGCTGTATACCCGCTTCAGAAGAAATCCGGTAACTACCGTGAAGTAGAACCGACGGTGCACCGTAGCACTGCCGCACGAACAGTGAGTATTCTGGCAAATATTCTTCTGTTGCTTCCAGGATTCTGTTCCTGTCGAGGGAATTAAAGGCATTTTTTACGTCCAACTTGAGAAATGCCTGCGGTTTGTCTCCTTTAACAGCGTCTTCTATGAAAAAGCGTGCACCATGGACCGCTGCTTCCACGCCTCCTTTTGTGGCAAAACCCAGTTGGATAGGTTGCAAGGCGCTATTCAAGTGACGTGATCGGAAGGACACGATGCGGGATACCAGCCGTCGAAGAGCCATGCCAACGGCGATGGGGCGTGTACCACCGTCTTTCTTTTTGAATGCATACAAGTTAGCTCCATACAAAATACTGGCGATTTCGGGGGGCACGTCCCCTCTCAGCATAATGTTAGCAACGTCAGCCAACGAATTACGCAGTTTCTTTGCGACTTCTTGGTTTTTCAAGGCAATCAGTTCTTTCAAATACTGCGGTCTTATCCCGTCTGGACCTGCTGCTGATCCATTCGGGAAAGCGCGGATAGCTGCTGTGATTTCAGTGAGAGATACGGAGGGTGGCCACCTGATTAATGCATTGCTGATTATGTACAAGTAAACCGAGCCGTTTTCGAAAGAACTAGCCGTATAAAGCAATTACAAAGTACGGCTGTGTTTTTTTCCTTGCGAGTACCCAACTTTTAAGAACCAGAAATCTTTGAAATTTACGTCAGCACATATTATTTTCGCAAAGAGGGGGTGGTTCAATGTACTGAGATTTGTACCATCTGTACATGACACAAATCGCAGTACATGCACGAGACCTTTCTGCCCGCAATCTCCAAGATTCTTTTGCTTTGTTTTACGGTATATTCTGTAGCCAGGTGATTTATATCTATATAAATACGTTGGCTATTAATTTGTTGGCTAAATGTACGAAAAAAGGGTCTGCTTATAACAACCGCAGACCGTCTATAACAAAAACATCTGTAGATAGACAATAGTTTCGACGCAAAAATCTAAGCCTTCGGTTGCTACTAACAAGCGCTGCAATATAATTCCACGTTGCAAATATACGGGCTTGCTCAACCCTTTTGAGTATTATGATTGCTGTCTTTCTGCTCGCTAACAGTAAGGATCTAAACGCGGATGCCCGGATTTAAAAAGCCAAGTGTAAAACAGCCGGCAAAAGCTGCTCCGATTCCTATCGTGCTGGTGCGATAGTAGGCTCAGTCAACTGTGCAACCCATTGATACCAGTTGACTGAGCCTACTATCGCACGGGTAATATTGATCGTTTCGTTGGATTCTCTTGACATTAATTTTACTGCACTTAAGCGTACTGTATGGCGTATGCTATACAGTATACAGTGTATAGTACAGAGACCATAAAATGTTCAAGTTTTCATTTAACTTTAGCGACTTTTGCATACTCACATCTGTTAAGTTTAGATCGGGAATAATTTACGGTGTTTCACTGAAATCATGATAATTTTTTAGTTATAATTATCACCGTATAGTTCACAGTGATTAAGGATGCTCAGTGTGCATCCGCGTGGTCTCTACCGTTGGAATACGGTTGATATTCAAGGCCAAGATGGATTATTCCAGCACGGCCGTGTGGTGAACGTGGTGTTTGAAGGTCTCGTGGTGGACTTTGACTGTCCCGGTCGACGGACGGAGCTGGTTTCTTTTGACGCGGCCTTTCACTGTTATCGCGTGGGGGAGTACATCCCGGGAGATTATCACAGCTGGTTATACCGGTCGCCGACCGCAGTGCCAGTCATTCCCCTCCCAGACGTTGAGATTCTCGCGCGCGTGTCCCCCGAACAGCCGTGGAAATGGTATCCGGCGCGGTTATCACGCAAGGATGTTTTTTGGCGGCAGTATGTGTTTGTGGAGATCACCCTGGATGATACCGTGTTCCAGAAACTGGTTGGTTTGCACTGCGTGCGGGTTGTGTCAAGGCGGAGATCGGTAAAGCCGGGGGATTTCATCGTTTCCTCATTTACTGACACTTTTTGGGGCACGGGCAATGCCCAAATGCTGTTGAGTTTGTGGAAGGAGAGCCTGCAGAGGATGGGCATGGAACACGCTGCGGATTCCCATCCGCATATTTATCCCGTGGGCTTCAGTACCGGAAAGCTGATGTACTTGCAACCGGCCCACCAAAAGTTACTTGGAATACTGGAAATGGTAACAACGTTGTTTAATTGCTTGTCTGCTTCCACGCTTTTACCATTTATACGAGTATTTTATTAGTTTTACAAGCAGATCAAACTGAAAGAATAACATCGTGTCTTTTTAGAGACAGCATAATATGGACAAAATTGGTACTAATTTATCACTTATTTAAATTTCTTAGAATATTTATTCCATAAGAAAACGACTTTTAGGGATGTTGCATGAAACTAGAAAAAACGATTAAAATCTCCATTTTTCAGGGTAAACTTATCGTTGACGTCAAGAGGGCAATGCAGTTGCGTATATCCACGGGATGGACATTTGGCGGTACCCACTGGATTCCGGCCGCGATTATTTCCAACCACATTAATCGACAGTCGCCAGATTCGCTGGCTTGGTTGCCGGCGAATCTTCTCCAAGAAACTTTCCAGTATTTGGACAGTATTAATCGCATACAATGTCGTCGGGTTTGTGCGGTGTGGGATACCATGGCCACAACCGGCGCCAACAACAACGAAGTGTGGGTGACCTTCACGACCGCCGATTTGCGCTACGACAAAGATTCGCTCGGTACCCAGCACGAAAAATGGCGGCGTTCTGCGTACATGGTTGGCTTGTGCTTGTGGAAAACTGTCACGGCAACAACGAAATGGGTGATTATTACGAATGCCATGGAGGCGGCTGATATTCACTGGAGCCACTGTCCATTTCTGGGAGACTGTCTGCGTGTAATCGAATTGGCTCGCCAAGAACAATCGCAAAGCAGCCAGAAAGTGAAGCTTATTCTGCATCGATTTCACTGGCGTCTGCAAGTGATGTTGCACATGCGTGCATTATCTTCGGCCGGTGCGGATGCGGCGGCGGTCGTCCAGTCACTGACGTGGACAGACTGCAGGTGTACCGTGGGTAATGAAGCTCCCGGTCAGCTTCTCCGCGGCGCACCCATTGCATCGGGCACTCTTGAGGTTGATGCCGATCGTCCAGAATTTCTTCTCAAGTTGTATTCCTTTCTGAAAAGCCATCTCCCGGTCAGGGAAACGGATTTCGCGACACTCCTTCCATTTGCTGGGTATCCGTATTACTACGAGTAGTGAAAGAGTTTTTTTTTACAGCGGGCTCCGCGACTCGTGTAACTGCAGCTGCATAACTTTTACTTGATCACAATGTAATTCGGATGCGACGATGTGCAACTTTAAAGCTGTGTTTGATGCTTTTTAAAGTAATTTTATTCCTCAAGATGGTTAAGATGGTTAAGGCGAACATTGCTCATTGTCAGTAATACTGGTATTACTCTCAAATGAGTGAAATGAACATGAGAGGGGATTATGCACAACACACTCATAGCAGTGATAGCATTACCAGTCAAAATTTCCAAACTCAAGCGTTGCAACAAAAAACAAGTGGATATTTGTTATTATACATATGCGGTATGTACCACCTGGTTACGAAAATTGGTTCCTGCTTATTTTTACAATTATACTTACGCCCGACCAGCTCCGAAATAAAAACTGACGAAGTGGTGTTTTTCCCATGGGCTTGAAATGCTTGGGTACTAGTAAAAACTTCAAAAAAGTTGCTAATGGAAAAGGACAATTTTAGGATGCAGAGAAGCAGCATATTATTTTAAATGAAAATTAATAGTACCGCAATGTACTTTCTACAATACAGTAATACTGGCATGTTTCCTTACCGCCACCCTGTACGGCTGTACAGCCTCAACACAACAAATGTACACTACATTGTACAATACATACTGCAGTAGTACGTATAGCAAATTTACAGTCAGAAAATAGGTCAACAGCAATAAATAATGGGCCTTGCGAGGGAAACTGCAAGCGGCATGTGTATCGATGCTGTGCAAGCTGCAAGTATCTGTAGGATCTACTTGCTAAACCGGCTTAATTGTGCCGGCAGTATTGAAACTACGTCTTGAAATCGGTACATCCGCTTTCAACTTGTACAGAGTAACATACGCACGCGGCACGCTAGCAGATTGATTTTCGGTTTATGTCCACGTGGAGTATTATATATAAATACCATCATAGTTATTCCGCTGGGTTCTGTTGATTTTGTGTTACAACGAAGCCAGACTGGAACAGTTTACCGCAAGTTCTGCATCCTGATTTATTATCGCAAACGAAAATGCCCTTGAATCTGTCGAGCTAAGCAACGGGAATGGGTTGCACGTTTACTATTATACACATATTTATGTAACCAACAAGGAATATGCTTAGTGTACATCCACGTGGTCTGTACCGTTGGAATGCGGTGGATATTCCAGGCACGGATGGGTTAATGCAGTACGGTCGGGTGGTGAACGTGGTGTTTTAATGCATTGTTTTGTACGAAAGTCTGGTTTATTACCCGATCTCCTTGAAACTTTGTCGTAAAAGGCACATGGTCATAAGGTCGAAAGTGAACCAATATCAGATCCATAGCATTTTTTTCCGATTATAAAATGGATTTCGAAATCTCGGCAACCGGATGTTGCGCGCGCAAACGGGTTTCAGAACAATGTATACAAATCATTTAGCTTTACTTAATGACATAAAGTATTACAGAAAAGTGATTCGGAGAGCGCGAAAGCGAAAGTTTTAGTGTATGTATCCCATTCCTGACGCTATGTACCGGGCCATTTCCCTTAATGAGATGCATAGACGGACCGGTAGAGCATAATCACAAATAACCACTGTATGACCGCCAGGTTTCGTCTTTTAGATTTTTAGATAATACAAAAATTCGCGCCGAAGTCTCTTTTAATATACTGACCAGTGTTGGTTGTGGCACAGGGAACAGCAGGGAAGAATTTGACGCTAAAAGGATCGAAAAATGAAGGTTTTTTGTAACAAGAAAAAAATTTGATAACAAATATGCAAAAATTAAAAATGTAATTTTTAAAAAGATTTAAGACTATATCAGCAAATAGTTATTTCAGTTCGGTCTCCCGCTTCGGTCCGGTCTTGTAGTGCCAGCCAACAGCGGTGCCCTTTCTTAGTAAATTAAATCAAACAATAGCTACATATTTGACTATATTTGGCTACATATAGACGATGACGAGTGTCTATGTGGATGCCGTTTACAGGATGAATTTACTGACGACGTCAAGACAGTAATGGAGCGACGTATACGCTCTGGCTGGCATTTCCTCGGCACCTCCTGGATGCCTCCCGACAATATTACCTGCCGGATTACTCCGGAGTCCCCAGAGTCCATATCATGGCTGCCGGTAAAACTTGTACAGGATACCTTCCAGTATTTGGACAGTGTTAACCGCACACGGTGTCGTCGTGTCTGCTCACTATGGGACATTGTCGCCGAGATGACCAAAGAGGTTTGGGTTACCTTCTCGTCCCCCGATTTCCGCTACAATGAAGATTGTGCGGGTCCCGAACATCGTGAATGGCGGCGATCCGCGTACAAGGTGGGTATGTGCCTGTGGAAAACAATCGCCGCCACAACGGTATGGGTCATCATTGCCAGTGCAGTGGAGTCGGATGGCTACCCGTTCCTGGGAGATTGTCTGCGGATCATCAAGTGGGTTCGCCAAGAACAACAGAGCCGTCAGAAAATAAAGGTCATCCTCCATAGATTCCACTGGTATGTGCAGGATGTGGCGTACATGATGGCGTTGGCGACCGCCTGTGCGGATGCGGCGGCCGTCGTCCAGACTCTGACGTGGAAAGACTGTCGGTTTACAATAGGTTATTCATGGACCGGCGTGCGCCACGGCATTAGCGTAGCGCTGGGCAGTGTCGATGTGGACGCGGATCGTTTTCGGTTTCTCCACAATCTTCACGCCTTTTTGGAAGGCCATCTTCTGGTCAGTAAAGCGGAATTCGCGGCCCTCCTTCCTCATGCGCGATTGCCACAAGTGTACATGTTCTGATAGACTACAAACTCTGTATTTATCTCTGACAATTGGAAATGGGAAATGGCAAAACTGCAGTACTTTACGTTGGAGAATTGTTGGTATTCGATTTGTACTACTCGTATAATGCGCCGAAGTTTAGTTGTTCGATGTTACTGTAATTATCTATTTAATATATTTCTTGCAGCTCAGATTTGTTGTTACGGGGAGTACAGAAGCTGCAGATAGACTGCTGCACTTTCAGATCATGTTATGTTGCTTCCGAGAAGCAATAATAATTGCAAGTACTTGTATGAGTATCTTGTTTATTTACTTATTTTTTCTCTGACTCTGGTAGCAGAAATTGCAAAACTGTATACACATATACTGTACTTTTAGCTGTATTATGAAAGAAAATAGGCAAAGAAGAGAAAAGAATAAAGAAAATAAGACAAGTTGTGGTCCTGATTCAAATTGTGCTAGATTCAGTAAGTCGGCATGATTCAAAATGAAAATGCTGTTAATTATCACCGAGCACTGTACCGCCTGTAAGCTTGTTGTTTTTCACTACTTATTTATTCCAGCTTGAACGGGATTGCGTTTAGTTTTGCTGCGCAAGGCTTTGCCGGAAAAAGTGTTAAAACAAAAAGTTCCGATTTCAGCTAAGCAGCGACTGTATCGATCCCAGTGTCAGTAAAACAAAATCAAACGCAGTTAACACACAGTTAATTCAAATTGTAAGTGTCAGGTGCTGTGCTCTTTATGTGCCTACTTGCAACTGGAGAGCAATTTAAAATGTGCTAAAAGTTAGTGCACACTGAGCCCGATACTGGAGTTCAGAACGATGGCCATTATAAAGTACTAAACCTCTAATATTTATTCAACTTCTGGGGAATAATAAAATAATCGGCAACTCGTACATGACTTTAGCACTGCAGTACAAATATGATTTTTACGAACAGCTGTTTACCGCTTAGTAGCGCACCTCATCTTGTATTAACCTAACCGTCCCAGCAATAACATCCGGCGATGTAAACCGGCAGTGGTAAATTCCTTTATAAGCATCACGCTGCAGCGTCAGCGGTACATAAATGCTACAAGTACTCGTATACTCGGGTATTAATTTTTTACGAACTACTTACTATTATTATTGCGCAAATGTTTATACCGGATAATACTGCTGCACACCCCGCGGACATTCGCATTAGCTATCCGGCTTAGAATGGTAATATCCACTACCGCTTTAAAAACACCACATTCCGTTCTTGCTACATCACCTGTCACAGAGCTAATGAATTTACCTGAAATTAGCATCACAGTGTTGTTGACTGCACATTAAATTATTGCCAGCATGTCGCATCACTGCCAGAAAGATCTCTCCTGGGTGCATACCGCACCCGTCTCCGCGCTGACCGACGAACAACTCATCCCGGGCCAGACAGTCAAGACGTCGCAGCAGGTTAAGACGCTCAACGAACCGGATATGCACAAGACCATCGTGGACACGGCCATCAGCGCCAAGGATCTGCCGACCGTGGAGTTCCCCTCCAGTTTTCCGGCAGTGGAGCGCTGTATTGCGGCCGTGGAGCAGGAAAAACACACCAAAGTCCATCACCAGTGAATCGTGTTACTAGATGTTTTTTCCACATCATTGCCAGAAATTTACAGATGTAATATTTGTTGTATAAATTTGCGCTCGTACGTTGCAGATGTATTGTGATAAAAGTTTTGGCTTGCGTAAAATCTAATTCATGATCTGCGAAATATATAGCTTAGTCATTCTTATAACAATATCTATTATAGCGCTATGTTTTCCGTTTGTGCATCTGTCGCTTTAAATTCTGATGATAATTAAGCGACGAAATAAAAAAGAAATTAAAAACAGGAAGAACATAATGGATGAAAGTCGTGTAACTGATAAAGCTGCTTCTGCATCGCCACTTGAAGACCGATAATTATCAAGCAAAACAACTGAAAATTAGGTAAACGTTTTAAAAAAAGGCTGCTACATGACTGCGCAATGCGCATTGCATCGTCACATGAAGTGCCACAAAGTATAATTTAATTCGCCGAACTCAGATAATTCTCTCGTTATTTTATGCACAAATTCTTAAACTGGCGAGTCACGACACATCAGCTAGCTGGAATGTACATGTATAGGTAAACGATTATACGGTTGCATAATTCCCTGACCGCATTAATTCTAATGGCCAGGCGATATTGTGACTGATCCCGAGCAAAATTTTAAGTACAGTAATTCAGTGAGTTTATTTTTTTACACACTTCACACAGTTAACAATTTTGCAGCTAAAACAGCGCGCTACAGTATAATACTCGGCACGATAACAAAATGAACACGACAACAACAACCAGTGCACCGCATAAAAAATTGCAGGTAAATAAATCTGTAGCAATACATAGATTATTATTGTACAGAATGATATCATCACGTATGTCTCTGTATCGACAGTTGGATACCTGCCGGTTGAAGTGTACGAGCGTGTATGACACTTTCGGCGAAAGCGTGGAAATTGTCTTGCAGCTGTCAGCCAATATAAACAATATTGCTAACCGGCACTCGTTCATATATTGCCGTAATATGGGTATTTCCCGCTCGACCGATAATAACATAATCAATACAGCACAGCGCATATTCCGTGTTCGTATTTAGCCGAAACAGCATGTTTACATTCTGAAATGTGATGAATCTTCTCACAGAATATTCTGTTAACACTGCCACAACATACGGTGAGTATATAAACCGTGCCTCCCTAACATGGCATTCATTTAATCACTGAACGATAAAAAAATTACAATTTGTTTGCTTGTTGATCGAAGGATTTTACTACCTGGATTATACAATCATGTCAACACACGAACCGAAAGCTGAGCGCCAGGGTGAGGTGCGCGCCGAGGCCCAATCGGGCGAGCGGACGGATGCGGGAATTCATCTGGGCGCGGAGAAGTACATGAAGGAGGACAATCCCCAGGATAACCCGGCGTATGATGAAGCAACGGGAAGACAGACCGGCGCCGGTGTCCCGCCGTCCCAACGGGAGATGGGCGATCGCCAACGGGAGGCGGGCGCCAAGGGTGCAGCACAACCCGATGAGTACGTCAAGGCGGCGGTAGTGCCGGCACCCGCCCCATCCGCCGATCATCTAATGAAGAACTACCCCGGGATGTATCCCGAGGTGGAGGAACAGGAGCGCCGTCGGGTGGAGGGGCAACGGGGAGAGGAGGCGGAACGGGAGCGTCGCCATCATGAGCACCACCATCACCGTCATCATCATCACCACCACCGCGATGAGGAACCGCGTCACGCGGAGAAGACCGTGGAGGTCCGTGGAAGTGATGGGGAGGTGCAACGCGCCAAACAGGAGGTGATGGGGGATTCCTGGCAGGGTCCGGATCCCCGGAATCCCGAGGAGTCGCGGCGTAGGGACGTCCAGGAACGGGATGAGGCGCCCCGGGAACGCCGAGTGGCTCGAGACGAGCACGTCACTGTTGAAGGTGCACCTCGAGAAAGGGAGGTACGGGAGGAAGTGGCCACCCGGGATCGGGACGTCGAGCCCCGCCGCCAGGATGTCCGGGAGGAAAAGGTCAGGAACACCGGCGAAGGCGAACGCCGGGAGGTCCGGGAAAAGGTCAAAGACACCGACAGCGGCGAACGCCGAGAGGTCCGGGAGGAGAAATTCAAAGACGACGGTCAGCGCCGGGAGGTTAAGGAGAAACGGGTGTCGGACGATGGAGAGCGCCGTGAAGAGCACCATGTCGAGAAGAACACCGAGAACCCCCGAAAAGGCTATAAGATGTCGGAAGCTTATGCGCATGGCGAGGCTGTCCACATGGACGCCCAGGAAGATTGCCGTATCAGTGAAAAGACTGACGACGAGGGCAAGGAAGTCCACCGCGAGGAGACCACGAAGGACGACGGTGAACGTCGAACGGAAACTAAGAAGGAAGTGGTACGCGATCGTGACAGTTCCCGGCGGGAATCAGAAGGCAACGCGGAGCGTGACCGCCGTCAGGGTCACGTCGAGGAAGACGTGGTTAGTCGACCGCCCAATAAGCAGACGGAAGGCGGAGATAAGCGCGTGGACATCGGTGGCGAGTCTCAAGGCGAAATGCACGAACGCACCGATGTAAAGATGCCCGAATATAACGAGCAAGAAGAGATGGCGGCAGCCGCAGCCAAACGAGCGGCTGAAGATGGCGCCGCCGTCGATAAGGATAAGGTCATCGCTGAACACGCCGCAATGTTCCCCGACGATGAGGACGAACATAAGAAAGGCGGACTGGTTCATAAGCTGAAGCACGCCCTGCATTTGGACCGCTCCGAACGCAAAGCCGAGAAAGAGCGGAAGAAGGAAGCCGAGGAAGGTTTTCCGGAACGCCAGGAAAAAATCAAACAGACGCAATTAGAGAGTCAAAAAGCGATGGAAGTGACAACCGAGGAGAAAGTGGAGACCCCCGACGGGGAAAAGGTTCGCGGGGAAAAAGTTACCAAAGAAAGGGATACCGATGGCGGCAGTGTCCAGAAGCGCACCACCGAAATCAAGGAAGAAAAGGATCCCCGGGAACCGGCTGATACGGAAAGCGTTCGCGAAGATAGAACCGTGGAAACACGGGACAGTGGCGCTTCACGTCGACCGAATGCCAGTGGCGATAAAGCGCGTGAACGCAACACCGAGACCCGGGAAAAGATCACCGACGATCGCGGTGATGTGCGGGAAGAACGCCGTGTCGAGCGGAACGAGCGCCGCGACGATGCGGGTGATATTAGTCGGCGTGAAGAGAAGACCGTCAAAGTCCGCGAACCGTCGCCGAGCCGGGGCGTGACCAGCCAGGGCGTGCAGACCGGCGAACCCGCGAAGGACCAGCCACCGCCCCAAGGATCACGTGACCAAGCCTACGAAGGCGGCGCGGTGAGTAACTCCCGCCAGAACGCGACGGTCCCGTTGGAGATCCTCAATCCCGAGGGGATGCACCGTAAAGCGGAGGAGGACGAGATTATTAAGAGCGGACAGAATTACGCGGAGATGGACTTCCGCCAACCGCATGAGGAGCGCATTCCCCGCGACCGTATTGAGCGCATGGTGGAGATGGATCATAAGCGGAAAGCGGCCGGTCTGGCGCCCGATGCCGAGGTCCTGGCCAATAACTTTCAGGTGACCTTCCACACGGCGGATTCCATGGAACGGGTGGACCAGGCCGGGCAGCCGGCGGTGGAGCAGGCGCCACCCCGACGCGATTCCTCGTATCGCCGTTAGATCTACCGGCTTTTTTGAATCTGTATTTAAATGTGCGGCGATATAATGCTGCACAGGTACTCTAACACTGTTAAATTATTATTGCGGGAAGTGATTTGTAAATTGGCAGCTAATCAAAGCGTATTGGTTCTTTGCGAGATTATTCATGTAATTTAAATTATTTATGTATTTCAGTAGCAGCGCCTTGTATGAGTACGTTATGTACTTTTTTTCCAGGTTGTTCCGCAAAAGTCGGGAATATAACCTGCTGAAGTTAAATAAAACATTAAATGTATAAAGTGAAATAAATGTCAAAGTTGTTTGCAGACTTTCTTTTGAGCTATGCCGCGGCCTCATTTCTCATCATCCAACATCGACTAAAACGTTTTGTTTTAAATAAAATTTATTTTTATAAAAATAAAATAAAATTTATTTTGCTAAATGACACTATTGAAAATGTTCAAAAGGTTCGTAAGGGAAGAAATGGTACAAGATTTTATGTTTTGCGAGCTGAGACACGAAAAATTGGCAAACAATTTTATTTGGCATCAGTGCAACCGAAGACGGCTTCATTTTTTCAAAAAATTCTTTAAACTTTTGTAGCTAATAAAATTCTCTATCGAAAAAGTCTAAACAGTTTACGGTGCGACAGAGGGTCTGCGAGAAACAAACGAAAACAGGAGACTGCCATTTTGGTCAGCCACCCGGTAGTAACTAACAATGCATTTATCGAGTTTAATGGTAAATAGGCATTTGCTTGTATAAGTTTTGAAAAAAAGTTACTTATGCACGTTATTAGCTGTATCTGTACAGTTTTCTAGGGACGGTGCAAACAGCTTTAGAGTACACTACGCCTCGATTGCAACGCCATACACCAGCCGCGTGACTGCAGCAGGACGTATACCGACTTCCTGTTATTAGTTACGCCAGCATCAGCTCGTATTACATGTACGGCTGTATATAAACTTCTTATTAAATTTTGAAAGCTTCTTGTATGTTTCAGTGGCGTTTATTAAAAATGCCCAAGACTGTTTTGGATGCAGTTGCTTCTTGTGCAAAGTGGGATAAGTTCACATCATGATGGGGTACCAGAAAAATGGAATCACCATCGAATTCACCTGGTCCCGCACACAAAATAATTATACGTATTTTAAGAACCCAAATAGAAACCAGTTGTCGTTAAAAAAATCTGTTGGAGAACAGCGCCGTTGATTTTTCAAATAAATGGAAAAGGAAACATCGCTGTTGAAAAATGCGCTGAGAGCGTAAGTTTTGTCCATGGCACAAATACGACAAAATTAATGAAGTGTGCTTGTGTGATTTCTGACAAGCCCGTTTAACACTTTCCTTTAGGTTTGTTCGCTACACCTGGAATTATTTCGCTTCTGCATCCACATGCACGTGCATTATTATCGCGTTACTCGCATGGAGAAATTAATACCGCACAAGCTAAAGCTAGCGCATTTCCATTATTTTCGGAAATTAATTTGCTTTTGTACCTGTACCGGTGCAATGCTCAACGTGAAAGGCGATACCAACTGGCCTTTTCTCATGACTTGCAAGTATACTTAGAATACAATCAGTACATCTACTGCATTTTACTGTAATTTCCGGTCTTATTTAAGAGTATTTGCAGTACTGAGTATTTCTGAAATATATACGAGTAATCTGGAATTGTGTGGAAGCGATGCTGAACTTTGGGAAAGAGGATACACTAAATCAGTTGTACTCGGACTGTTAGGGAATGCAGCCATGTTTCGGTTACGTTACGATACTGCTGATAATTGCTCTGATTTTGTCGTATTTTTATCAATGAAACGGAAAAGGCATAACGGACCGAACGTCATTATTTCCACTAACGTAATCCCCAATTTCGTTCAGGCATCGGACAGTAATTTCCAGGAAGATTTGTTAAGTGCAGTTACATGGACGTTCTTACATCAGCATCGAGTGTTGACCATTTTGTGGTGTTGCTTCTGGATAAGAAGGTTACTGATTTTCCTGCATACTCGTCAGTGATTCTGTTCAAGCCGGAAGAACGCAGGTTCAAAATGCCCGCGATGCTGAATGATTCTTTCACTATGTCTCACGTCATTTCCAATTCATCTGCGAAGGCAGACCATCAACTGCCCATAGAGCTTTGGCTCATTATTTCCCCCATTGCAGCGTTGTTAGCCAATAGCGGCGTTATCGTGCTGATTGTGGGTAAAGAGAAATTAAGGACACCCTTCAATATGTACATCGTGGCGCTAGCATTGAGCAATGTCGCCTACGCCATCATCCACGGCACTCTGAGCATAATGAACTGGGGTTTCACCGGCCACAACTGGACACTGGGCGACGCGGCCTGTACGATCCGCATTTACAGCAACTACGTTGTAGCGGCCATTACCGTGCACCTGCACCTGCTGGTTAGTCTCAGTCGCGCATGGGCCCTGTTCGGACCGGTATCCTATCGCAGCCACCACACTATCCGTTTGGCGGTGACGTTCTGCTTAGGCGCGGTGGTGTATGTGCATATTCCGCTGTTGCCCGGCATCATCCTGGATGCGCTGTACTACCGTCTCCCCACGGAGTACGGCTGCTGGATCAACCCTGCCAAACAGACGGTGTGGGCCACTTTTACTACCGTGGTGATCTTCGTTCTACCAAAACTCTTCATTCCCACCTGCTACCCGGTGCTCCTGTGGAAGACTGTGCAGCGAAGAAAAGTTGCGGCCCTCTTGCGCGGGAGAAGAAACGACAATCTACCGCCGTCGTGGACGCCGTCTAATACAAGAGATGATCATGTGAAAAACACCGCGTCGCGGCCGTTCATTGTCCTGACCCTGTTCACTGTTGGTGTTCTGGTATGCTGGATTCCTTCGTTGATTTTCTATGTTCTCGCTAACTATATTCCACCAACCGAGATGCCCATATTTTCTGAGGTTGCGCGAGTGCTGTATTCGCTGCAGGCGATACTGGATCCGATATTCTTCTGTCTGAGCGTCAGGGATTTGTGGTCTGGTCTTGCTTTATTGTGGACTCGGTGCATACGACGTCGAAGCGATGAGTCTCCACAAATGTCCAATCCGCCAATCTGAAAGATTAGTACAATAATATTCAAAGAAAAATTCATGTACAAAAACGGGAGATGCCCATTATTAATTATTATCCATTTATTATCCACAAGCGCCAGTTATATCAACAAGCTTCGCTCCGCAATTAAGACGACCAGACCAACAATATCCATAAGAAAAACTCCATTCTCAATTTTCCAAACATTTTAATGTTTGGTGTAGACGTCGCAGTGTGTTTGGTGTAAACGTTACGTGTAAACTCCGCCTTGTTCTCAGTTTTTTACATTTTATGAGAAAATTTCTGCCGGCTATGGTTCTGTTACCGTCATGCACGAAATTTCTGGACGACATTCTTATGCAGTTAAACCCTAAGAGCCTTGTCTTCGGATAGATTACTCTTTATAAGCAAACTGTCATATATGTGACGAACGGCATAATCGTTTATTATCTCCGCTCGGGACAGCAAACAACTAACTAAATAGACGTAACGTAGCAAATCTGGTACTTCGATTACCACATGGTTCATACGGCACAATGGACAACGGACATATCCACATCCAGGAGAACACACATCGCTGCACTTGTACGTACGTCTACTCGCACTAAACACCACACAAATGAAGTTTTACTTTTGCATTTTCTTTGTTGAAACCTTTGAGGTTAAGTAAGTAATTGAACAGTCTCTACAGCCTACAATGGGTGATAGTTTAAATAAAGTTTTGCTGTTGTGAATATATCACGTGCTTATTTTTCCTCCACCTGATCTGTACGTTGATTACTAATATAGAGTTTACCAAGTGTGGGTGTCTGTTGGGTGATATCGTGGTACCATGCCGGATGAGGAAAATGGAAGGATTACACTCATGAAACATCAAACACCGTCACGAGCAAAGTACTCGTATTATCAGTAGTGGAATTGACAATGGTTTGCATTCACTGACATCTGTGACTGATCGATCTGTAATTTACCATCATAATTTTTATTAACAACGAACTTGTAAAAATATAAAAGAAAGGAGAAAAAAAAGAAATATAAAAGGAGTTACGGTTCGTGTGTTCGCACGACGCGCTTCGTTAGCTCGGATTTAGACAAGATACCTTTATTCCAGCTCATCAGCTATAACTCTTCCCGGGTGAATGTTCAACAAGTACATAGACAAATAAAAACGTTCGTGGGTGATCTTAAAATTGAACTGCATTAACGATAGCGCAAGAAAACTAACAGTGCTTAAGTCACCAATCATTACTGTCCGTTGCACGGGTCAAGTGCTGGATGGCCTTCACGGTCATTGGGAAGCCACCGCGTTCGGCTATTCGGTTCACCAGTCACCCTTGTTCGTTGAACAGCACTTTCGTGGAATTCCATCGATTTATTGGAGGTATCTCACGTTACGTTGCTAAGGAATACATAGATGCGTTGCAGTAACACATCACAAAAATATGGCGAAAATTTATTTCCAAAACGCTTGTACAGTTGTACATTGAGATTTATGTACAGTACTGCGATTTCAGGAGCTACCAGCGCGCACAACAACCTTCGTTAATACATGTGAAGGATACAATGTAGCAGACGAAGCTAAAAATTCCGCATTAATTAAAGTGATACTTTATTTAAATTACAAGAAAACGCCACTAGAATCAAGTCACTTGAGGTAGAATAAACCGTCAGTAGTAAGTCACCAATCCTGGCATCATTCTCTGATTGGTCAGACACGCCCCCTTCTCTCATTGGCTGGCTCCGCCTCTTAAGCCAAGACTGGGACCGAGACAGGACCGCTAGTCTGGCTGCCTCCGCCTCTTAAGCCGAGACAGAGACCGAGACAGGACCGCTAGTCTGGCAGCTCTAAACCCAGACAGAGACCGAGACAGGACCGCTAGTCTGGCTGCTTGCTCTTAAGCCGAGACTGAGGCCGAGACAGGACCGCTAGTCTGGCTGCCTCCGCCTCTTAAACCGAAACAGGACCGCTAGTCTGGCTGCCTCCGCCTCTTAAGCCGAGACAGAGACCGAGACAGGACCGCTAGAATAGCAGTCTATCTGACTTCGCCTCTGAAGCCAACACAGAGACCGAGACAGGACTGCTAGTCTGGCAGCTCTAAACCCAGACTGAGAGCGGTGACAAGACCCGGATCTAGTTTCTAGGTCATGTTTACCCCCTTTCTTTTGTTCATTGTTCCCTTCCCTCTTTTATTATGTTTTCACCGAATAAGAATGGTTCAAAGTTTAAGTAAAACAGATCAGGCCGCATGAACATACGCAGGAG